TAATGAACATGGTTGGCCCTGACAGAGCACTCTTGCAGGATTAGCAGTGATTTGCAGCTTTTTGCAGCTTTTAAAAAAATGCCTCTTCAGCTGTGCCCAAGATTTCCGCCTTTCCATCTCCCGTTTCCGCTGCAGCGACATCTCTAGCACCAACCTCGCATGCCCACCTGACTACTCTGCCTGTGGCACAACACAATCTCCTAACACATCCTTTTGTGGCACGTGTGAATCCTTCTGCAAGACTTGCAAGCAATCTGCAGGCAAGTAAACAAACATCAGCAAAGCATGGTTTCAGAATGAAACGCGACACATGGCGGAAGGCGTTTCGGAGTCCAGAGTGTTGGGTACAGCAAGCAATGCATGCCAATGCATGGCAAAAGGCAAGTCACAAGGCATGGGACAAGGCATGGCACAACGCATGCCACAAGGCATGCCACAATGCATGCCACAATGCATGGCACAACGCATAGCTGATTTCCTGGAAAGCACCTCATCTTCTTTGGAAAATGAGTGGGATGCGTTGAAACACGACTTTAATTTTCTTCATCGAAAGCAACTGCGACCAATCTGGGTTCTCTTATTGTTATATTGCAGATGGAGCATCACCCTTCTGATCGTTTTGTTTGCAAACCGGCCTGCTTGGCTGAACGTTTTACGCTCACATGTAGGGCTGTCCTCTTAATAGCTCTATCAATGACCACCTTCCTGCTCTCCTCACTGCGAATCTTCCTCACCAGGTGGATTGTCAGTGGGAGCCATCATTGGCATTGTTGTTGGCGCTGCTGTGGTCATTCTCCTCCTCCTGGGTGCAACTCTGCTTTACTTCAGGCACAGGATAAAGCTGAAGCAGAAAGGTAGGGAGACAAAGCAACCAGAAGAGTTCATTCTTCATAACTAGACTCTCGTTGATGCAGTTGTGTGTGGCTGGTTGTGATTATGGTGAGAAATGAGGAGCAAGGAATCCATTGCTTAACTCAGACATGTGCTGCAGACAAGTATGCAAGTCTAATCATGCTCGACATCACAAATTCAAGCCAAAATGCGTAACATTGACTCCCCACAGGCAGAGTGACTTGACACATTTCAGTCACTCCTTCACTTATGGATGTACCCTAGCGGGCATAAACCTGGGCTGCCCAATTTGGAATTGAAGTGTGACAAGGTGTTGAGGCACTAGATGGTCTAAATTCAAGATTTCAGGTTTTGAAACTGCAAAATTCTAAATTCTTCGAGGCTCTCAGAGCCCGGCTCTGTGTAATCTCCCGTGAGCTGACTGACACGCCGCGAATCAATCCCCTAGAAGAAAGTTGGGCCAAGTCACAGGACTCAACTCGGCACTTCAACCGAGGCCGGCCGCACTCGACCTGAATCGACTCCACTCCACTTGTGCTCAGGCATTTTCCCCTTCACCCATGCACCACGAGCAGGCTCGGGGAGCAGTCTGGCAGCCTCGCACTGCACGGAGTTCTCAATAGAAGAGGTCCTCACGGCCACCAATGACTGGTGTGAGGGCAACCAGCTGGGCTCGGGTGCCTTTGGCGATGTGTACAAGGGCATATCTCCCCGCGATGGCACCACATTGTGGGCTGTGAAGCGTGCCAAGCTGATCGACGTGGACTTTCAGAAGGAGGTCAGTGAGCTGCAGATATGGAGATGGCATGTTCGTTTGTCAGTGAGAAATGTTGAGGAATAGTGAGCCATGGTGATTTGTGCTGAACCATGAGTATCTCGTCACCATAGTGTCATTTTCCATTCAAGATCTTGTATTTATCATGGACGCAAAATGGTTCATCGCTTTAGTGTCGTTGCTGTTCAAACTTTTTATTGGTTGTCCTTAATGCTACATGTGAATAATGATTGAAGAAAAATCCGTTATGTTGTTTTTTTTACTGTCATGCCTGCTCACTGTTTGTTGTGTGCCCTGTTCCTTCACCCCCCTGCTTCGCGCTCGTACTTTCTGGCTGTGTGGGTCAGATCCAGCAGATGGCCGACAAGAACCATCCCAACATTGTGAGGCTTCTTGGCTTTGCGATTGGAGGAGACTTGAGGACACGTCCCGAACAAGTTCTCATATATGAATATGTGCCCAACGGCGACCTTCACAAATGGATTGGTCCAAGTATGTCATTCACTGTGTCACGTGGATTTTCTGCTGCGCCTCGCAGAAGTTGTGTCATCAATATGCTGTGGTACTTATATGATGTATGTGCCACATATGTTGCCCATCCTTTGTTGAGTGCAATACATGGTTTGCACGACAACCTACCGCCTATTTGTCGACGTTGAGTGAAAGTGGGGTGTTTGTTCTGAAGGTAATTTGTTGTGTGCGAGTTGCACTTTTTCGTGAGCTGCGTTTCTGTGTTTACGGCTCGTGAATCGCCTCAACGGTTCATGAGTTATGTGAGTTTTTCGTGAAAGGTTGCGTTCCTGAGTGTTCGTGAATGTCCGTGTGTGAATGCGAGACTTCGTGCGCGTTTGCGTTGCTTCGCGAGTTCTCATAAGTGTGCGTAAATTCTATGTTCGTGATTTCTGTGTTCGTGACTGTGTTCGTGAAATTCCGTGAAGTTTGTGCGCTGTTCATGAATGTTTGTGAGCGTTCATGTTAGTTTTCGTTTTTCTGTTTTCGTGTGTGTTCATGAAGTATCGTGGGTGTTCACGAAGGGTCAATGTTGACCCTTGGATATTTCTCGCGATGGTCAAGGTCAACCACGCGAGGAAATCGGGACCCGCGCGTGGGGTCCTGATCGTGCGTGTGGGCCCTCAGGCCCGCGCGTGTGCCTTCGCACTGTTGTGAGCGTGGCATGGCCCACGATCGCAACAGGACAAGGCGAATAATCGCCCTGCCCACGCGCAGTACAGCACTGTACAGCACGACCGAAATATCGGTCGTGCATGATTGCAGTCGTGGGGGTGCTCGGGATTACGGTTGAAAACCGTATCTCGCGTTGACTCGACTTACAGGTAACTTCGCTGGAAAGATCGCGCGCGTAAAGGGACAATTCTGATATAGGAGAAAAACGGTGAAAACCGTTTTTCAACTGTGAGACTTCGTGAAAACGGTAATCTCACACGAGTGTTTATGATTGCGCACAAGAAGTCGCGAACGTTCACGAGGGGAGTCAGCAGGGGAATTTGGCAGACATGAAATTTGAAGACAGTTATTCTACAGGGGAGAACCAAGCCAAATTCCTAAGCAGTTCGACAACCGTTTTCCTTGGCGCATCTGGCGAAGTCCTGAAGTATAGTTAAACAACTGCTTTGTGCTTTCTTATGCTTGTGTGCTAGGCGAGATATAAATGCGTGCTTGTGTTCAGTTGTAATCAATCATTTGAGTGAATATATTGCTCTATCATCGTATTGACGTAAAGAGCTACTTCTGCATACAAGCCAATTCGTCATCTAGCGCTGCGCAACTGAGTTTGGGAGCGTTCTATTGCACACGACCGAATTTACACTTAGTTCGTCCCTCGACAAACACGGACCCTTGGTTAGGGGCTGGCTTTGCCAGACACCCGAGGACCCTTGGAGGTGACCCCGTGGGGACTAACTGAGTGGTAATTAAAGGTGTGCTTAGAGCGTCTAGATCCCAATAGTAGTCAACATCCTTGCACAGGCAACCTGGCCTATGCCACTCATCCTCTGCCACTCACATTTTGCCATTCATCCTCTGCCATTCATCCTCTGCCATTCATCCTCTGCCACTCGTTCTCTGCCACTCATTCCTTGCAGATGCCGAATGCCCTCTGACTCTGAAGCAGCGGCTGGACATTCTCATCGGCTTGGCACGGGGCTTCAAATACCTCCACAGCTTTGGCATTGTGCATCGCGACATCAAACCTGACAACGTCCTCATTACCGACAATATGCAGGCAAGTTTGGTGACAGAATGATCTCCGTTTTAGTGGAGGCGATTTTTTTTTTTTTTTTTTTTTTATATATATATATATATATTCTGGTCAAGCCACACATTCAAGTTTGGGAAGGGGTCGTTGGTACAACACTACACCAAATATGGTTGGAATGTTTAAACTATATGTCTCGTTTCTTACAGCAACCATTTATTCAAACTCACTCACAAACCCGTTTTCTTACGTCCATGCTCTATGTGGATTGCACCACAAGCGACCAATTATGCACTACCTCATGCTACAATGCCACTCATCTGAGTCACCAGGCGAAGATTGCAGACTTTGGTCTGCTGAGGATGGGCGAGGGCACAAACGTGGGCACAACACGCATCATGGGCACACCGGGCTATGTGGATCCGGTCTACTCAATCACCTCCAAGGCCACCACTGCCAGTGATGTCTACAGGTGAGGCAGTGATGCGTACAACGGTCCTTGCTGGACGCGCGTAGTGTTCAAAAGGAGAAAATAGAAATGCATCGTAGGAACAGGGCCCAATGAGACCCGCTGCAAATGCTATGTGTGTATGACTGATATGGACCTGTACATACTGCGTTCAGGTAATATAACTCATCTGAAGCGTCTGTGCCTCTCGTCTCGTCCTCTGCCATCCTGTGCCAACAACATCTTTGCTTTTGAACATGTCCAATTTCTTTCAGCTTTGGAGTGCTCATGCTGGTGGTCCTCACGGGAAAGGCGCCAATCTCGGAAACTGCTGGAGAGAGCTGGAAGATCACTCCATGGATAAGTACATAACCCATGTGACCACCTCAAATGTAAGTACCTCAACCCATGAGATCACCTTGTGGGTAAGAACCCTACTTCGTGGAACCACCCCGTTCCATAGCTAAGCACCTCATTTAATGGAACCGTCGTGCTCTTTTCGTATTCAGTGGGATCATATTGATACCATCCTCTCCATAGCAGTAAGAGACCACCTCCCTCCACTACCCAATGTGTGGTCGTGGTAGTTCCTTTCTTTCCTCGTCCTGTTCTTACTAGTGGTCCTCACAGGGCCGGCAGATCACTGTGTGGGTGAGCACCACTTGCCAGTACTTTTCAAATACTCAATTCACATCTTTTCCGAAGGAAATATGTCCAGCTTCTTGAATACCATATGTGACCCCTCCCAACCCCTCCACCTCCTCCACCTTCAACACTCCCTCGACACCCGCCGAACGTCCCCCCTCTCCAACCGCTCCATCCCACGCTCAACTCCCTCAGGCGGCGAAGTGCATGTCTTCGAATGATGTGGGGAGCCTCATGGACCCCACCATGGACGCCCCTGCTGAAGCTGTGCTGCGAGTGGCTCAGATCGCCCTCGCCTGCACTGGAGAGCGCACTGCAGACCGCCCAAGCATGGGGCAGATTGTTAACGAGCTCCAGGCCATTGGGGAGGAGGTGGCGGGGAAAGAGGTGCTGTGTGCTACTGCCAAGGTGGATGCGCAGGTGCAGGAGATGAAGGATGTTGTTGCGGGTGTCTTAAGCCTCGACTCGGAAATTAAGATGATTGGAGAGCGTAGCTGAAAAGGCTTTAGATAAAGGGTCGGGTGATGTCTTAAGTCGGTCCACAAGACGGGCAAGTAGTGCTTTCTATTTGACTTGTGACTGTGGCTGTTGCTTAACGATATTCGTAATACTGTGGAGCAGTTTTGTTCTGCTCGGGTTCCTTTGCGTGTGAAAATTTTGGACAAGCCCGTTAGTGGGATTCCTCACCATGAGGCATTGGGATACACTATTTATGAAATACTCTGAAATACTTTCTGCATTTCAGTATTGCCTCATTGTAGAAAACTCATCGTAGTACAGCACCTAGTTGACAGTTTATTGTAGCTGTACCTTCAGATTATTGTACGCCCAACGGCGACCTTCACAAATGGATTGGTCCACGTATGTATGATACGCCTCCAGCGTGCCTTCTGCTGTGTCACGCAGATGTTCTGCTGTGCCGCGAGATGTTGTGGTACTCATGTGATGTGCCACTTATGCTGCCCGTCCTTGCAGAGGCAACCTGGCCTTTGCAGCTCATTCTCTTCCACTCGTGCTCTGCCACTTCTGCTCTGCCACTCATGATGTGCCCTTTGACTCTGAAGCAGCGGCTGGACATTCTTATCAGCTTGGCACGGGGCTTTGAATACCTCCACAGCTTTGCCATCGTACATCGCGACATCAAGCCTGAGAACGTCCTCATTACCGTCAATATGCAGGCAAGTTTGGTGACATAATGATCTCTGTCTAGCGAATGAAAATTGTGTTTGTTTGTTTGTTTGTTTGTTTTTTTTTTTGGTTTTTTTTCTGAATATCTTGGCGAAGCTACACATCAACTTTGGGAAGGGGTCGTTGGTACAACAGTACACCAAATATGGCTGGAATATAAAAACTTCAAATCGTGTTTCTTACAGCAACAAATTTTTCAACCTCACACACAAACCCCTCTTCTTACTACCGTTTTTACCCGGCTAATAGACCCGGGGGTCTAATCCTATACCGGGGAAAAAATGGGGGGGGGTCTATTAACTGGGGGGAATTTTAATAGACCCGGGGTCTAATCTTGAATCTTTTTTTTTTTAATTCTAAGTCATTTCAAACACTCTTTTACGACATCACAGGTCACCATTCCGATATCGCGTCATGAGAAGATTGACCACGCGCTGACACAAGACAGGCACGTAGTCAATAATCCAGTCAGATCAGTAAATTTCGCTACCCTGATATGATGTGTCTCGCTACAGTTTCGTGGAATTTGAGCTTTCTGCACTAGGGGGGGTCTAATACTGAATGCATTACACAAAGGGGGGTCTAATACGAAAGTGGAGATAGCATTAGACCCACCCCCATTTAACGTCCCGGGGGTCTATAATTTTGGGGGGTCCATTAGCCGGGTAAATACGGTACGTCCATTCTCTATTGTGGATTACACCACAAGCGATCAATTATATACTTCTTCATGCTACAATGTCACTTATCTGAGTCACCAGGCAAAGATTGCAGACTTTGGTCTGCTGAGGATGTGCGAGGGCACAAACGTGGGCACAACACGCAGCATGGGCACACCGGGCTATGTGGATCCGGTCTACTCCATCACGTCCAAGGCCACCACTGCCAGTGATGCCTACAGGTGAGGCAGTGATGTGTACAAAAGTCCTTGATGGAAGCGCGTAGTTTTCAATAAAGGGGAAACTAGAAATGCATTGTAGGAACAGGGCCGAACACCATATGTGTATGATAGATATGACATGCGCATGCTGCGTAGGAACAGAGCCCAATGAGACCAGCTGCAAATGTTATGTGTGTATGATATATGGACCTATGCATGCTGCGTCCAGGTAAAGAAAATAATCTGAAGTGTCTGTGCCTCTCGCCCTGTCCTCTGCCATCCTGTGCCCACGACATATGTGCCTTTGAACATGTCCACTTTCTTTCAGCTTCGGAGTGCTCATGCTGGTGGTCCTCACGGGAAAGGCGCCACTAGTCTAGCTGTGCTGGCTATATGATTTCAGCTTACTAGAATACTAGCAGAAGGTAATAAATTTCGGTAGCGAGAGTCGATGTCAGAAGGAACAAATTCCCCTCTATATCGACTTTAGGGTTATCTCTGATGTCGAAATCGGGTCTTACCCTAATTGCGACCCGAATCCGGGTCGGGTCAACATTGAGTCGAGCCTCGGGCCGACCTGACCCGATTTCCAATGTCTGGTCGGGTTTTTGCCTGGGCCGGACTGACTTGACTCGGCCAAGCCAGGCATTGTAAGACCTGACCCGACCCGAGAAAATATTCCAGGTTTGGTCGGGCCGGCCCGACCCGACCAGGCCGTTCGCTCATGCCTACACCATTTTGTTATGGCTCACCATGCTCATCGTGGCTCACCGTGGCTTACCACAGATCCCTGACCTCCGTGTGTGCACCTCACTAACCTCCTTCTCGAAGTCCACGTCGATCAACCTGGCTCACTACACAGGCTCCATCGCGGGGAGACACACCCTTGTACACGTCGCCAAAAGCACCCGAGCCCAGCTGGTTGTCCTTTGACTAGTCATTGGTGGCCTTGAGGACCTCTGCTATTGCGAACCCCGTGCAGAGCAAGGCTGCCAGGCTGCCACTTGTGCTTGCTCATGGTGCCAGGGGTGAAAGAAGGGCAGACGGGTGCAGGGAAACAGGCTTGAGCACAAGTTGGGTTGAGTAGTTTTGAGTCGTCTTCAGTCGAGTCGAGTCAGGTTAGACCCGTGACTTGCCCCAACTTGCTTCTAAAACCGGGGTTGATTTGCAGCTCGTTGATCAGAATCCTGAGACTAATGACTTCGCGGAGCCAAGCTCTGAGTTCCCATAAGTATTTGCAGTTCCTGAAATTGACATCCTTAAACCACCTATTGCCTCAACACCTTGTCGCACCGAACCGAAGTTCGGGAACTATGTAGCCCAGGTTTACATCCACTAGGGACCGGGTACATCGACAAGTTAAGGAGGCATACCAGCATGTAAGCTTGTGACCAAAGTAAATGCGTCTGCCAAGTCACGCTGCTTGTGGCAAGTCAATCTCACTTATCTAAAGGCCAGGATTTGGAGCAGTCAATCTCGTCTCATCTCTGGTTGAGTCAAGCATGACTACAATTGCAGACCTGCAAGATCATGGCAAAGCTTATAAAGTAAAATCCTTGTTCCCCACCGAACGGCATGTTGCAAAAGGCTACTCAAAACTGCATCAACAGAGTCTGGTTAATCAAACAACTCTTCTTTTGCCGAGCGTAAAACAAAGTGGGGCCCAGAAGTAGGAGAATGACCACAACACAACGATGCCAATGATGATCCCCACTTACATTCCACCTCCGTTCGTGCACAATGCTCATGTGCCACACGTATCCTTACACGTCCCGAATGCGTCAGAAAACATCTAAGGCACAAAGCAAAAACCCGATCTTAACATTTTCAATGGTGGTTACAAGATGTAATCGGGTTAGCGATCCTCGTAATCCGTCTAATGTTAAGCTGCGTGACACGCTCTGAGGTAAATCCTACATCCGAAACCCATAGGAAAAAATGGGCATCGCATTATGCATGCTCTGCGAACTATACCGACGCATAACGAAATCAAATAAATTAAAGGGATGTGTTTCTCTTGTAATTATCAAGGATTCATAGATGACTTTATAAGATATGTTGATAGTTTTTCATAAAACAAATTTCATATCGAATATTCAAAACGTAATGCAAAATAATTACTACAAATTCATATGCAGGCATACGTCATTGATTGATTCGGTAGTTGTAAAATAAATGTATTAAAATCGACGAGGAAAGATGGGTATGGATGCTTAGATCCCGAGCTCGAGTCACATATAAGTCAAAATGTACTTTGTAGAAGATTGCCTCGACGGTGTTGACCACCATATTGTCGGTCAAGTCGAGCACCTCCCAGCCCTTGCTCACTGGTCACATACCGTGGTGAAGTCGACAACGGGCCTTTGGCGCCAGCTTCCCACCGCGTTGCTACTCGGGAACTATGAACTGCACTATATAGCCCAACACCCGCGCTAGCGTGAGGTCGGGCTTCTTGCCGTTCAGTAGCTGGTGTGGCTTGTGACTGCAAGTCGTTGACCTGCCAGCACTAAACCAGGGAAGCCTGCCAACGCTATAGCAAGGCGTCTTGATAGTGGTGCAACCGCAAATGACTACACCGCACATGCGGGGCACCTACTTTGTAAGTGCAAGTAGGCGGTCGAGCACGTCGTGCACCATCACACACATTATGCAAGTTCCAAGTCGGTCACGTGTCGACGGTTGCGCCAGATGTGCCACGCCGACCTTTTGCGCACGTGATGTTGTCACGTAGGTCAGCTTCGCTAAAAGTACCTGGACGACGTTCGCGCACCCCCGTAGAACTTTGTCGACCAACCTATTCGGTTGACCAGACGAGGTCGCCGATGCTTACAGGTCGGTGCCTGCAATTTAATGTTACGTCGTCAAACATCTTTGTCGGCTGCCAACTTCACTTCGTCGCCCAACGCCGTGGCCGGTTTCGCCAAAGTCGGCTCCGCCATGGCCGACTTCCCCGAAGCCGGTTAACCAAGCCAACTTGCTCCTCCAAGTCGACTAACCAAGCCAACTTGCTCCTCGAAGTGGGCTAACCAAGCCGACTTGGCCAACCACAAAATCGGCTCCGCCATTTGTGTAGGTCTGCTTCGCAGTGTTCCGCTTCACCGAAGTCGGCTAACTGCCAAACTCGGCTCCGCCGTAGTCAACCAATCTGGGTTCGACTAACCAAGATGACTTTACTCCTCTAAGTCGGCACCAACCAAGAAACCTAGCCGGCTGCACACCTTGCTCGTCGGTCAGTGAGGTTGGCTTCGCCCAAGCGAGGGCGGGGCCAAATCTCCATTCAACACTCCCCTGTCCAGGTCTTGCTTGGGCACCCATACACAAGGTCCACCCAAAACATAAGAGAGAGAATGCACGGGGAAAAGTTGACAACGTGCACATTACGCACAGCATACCGGTCACCGCACCAGTCGTGCAAAAGGGCATGGCACCT